AGGATAAGAACAAGTGCATGCAAATACACACACGGCCACGTAAACACACACAAGCGGCTGCACATAAAACCCCTCTGATAAGATCTACAGGGATAGAGTCGTTGTTAAAGAGAGATGTCCGTTATGGAAAGAAAGCAGCTGTGTGTGTGTTTGTGGAGAAACAAGACTCCAGTTGTTAAGCGCAATCAAACACAAATAACTGCACAGTGTGCATGAAAAAAAGAGTGATTGGGTGACTAACTGCCACTTGTAGAATGATGTTTCCCCCCTGCGGCCTGATTTTCGCCCTTTTCTATAGGTTTAATGCTTTTCTTCCACACCTCCCTGTCACACACTCGCTCCTTCATTCTCTAACACATGCACACATGTATACACACACACACACACGCGCAGACACACATCTTCTCAGTCAGCTGACACCCTGACTGAATTCTAATTACATCCTATGACTCTGTTGCTGGGTAAAAACCACAGCTTCAATGGTGTTAAATTCCTTCACGTTTCCCTTTAACATAGAAGAACAGTGCAGCATTTACTGGGAGTCAAAAGGCTGACGAAGGAGTGTTAATGAAGGGGACAATATAGAAGTGAGGGTGGGAGGAGGAACAAAGGAAGGGGGAGATGGATAAGCCATAAATCTGTGTGTGTGCATAGTGAAAAACTTTTGGGCTTTGTGTTTTTTATATATTGTTTTTGCTCTAGCTTAGGGATATCAAGTTCTGGTAGCTCATGCCTCAGACTGTCCTTTAAGTATTTTTTTTCTTTCTTTTTTTTCTTTTTTCTTTTTCTTTTTTTTTTTTTTACTGTGGGCTAATTTTACAAAACAGAGATTTCTGTGATAAACAACACACATTTAATGTTTGTCTATTACTTAATTACATTGACGAAGTATGAAGGGCCATGGGAGAGGTTTGCATGGGTAGGAAAAGTTGTAAAACGTCTGAAAATAAAGTTAAAAGTCCAAGATTTTTGCCCTCCTTCACATTTTCCAAAGAAAGGCAATCCCAGGCCTTATGTTTGACACCCCTACTCTAACTAATCAACTAATCAACTCTAAGTCTAACGGTCAAAAGTTGCTTACCACGGTATGGGTGTACAAATACAAGGACATGTTATATAGAAATATAGACGTACGCAATACTTTTGTTAACTCCCTTGAATTAAAGAGTTTGCATTTCAGTCACATCCTAATTGACTGTTGCAGCATTCATAATGATGATGTATAGAAGCAAAACTAGAAAAACTGTGTCAGTGTACAAATATTCCTGGATCCAGCTGTACAGTACATTACAGTTTACTAAATGTTCAATAGCTAACTGGTTAGCTTATATTGGTATATTTTTTTAACCAGCCCAACATGCAAGGTGACTGAAAATGAACAGATAGACAGACAGCAACAAAATAATATTTTCATGTTAATAACTTTTGTCTAAAATAAAGTCTCTTCATATAATAATAAGATGAGAGATGCCTGAATAAAGTTCAGAAATAAACTTAAAATAAAGACTTAAAATGAGTTGAATACCACTGGAACTATTAGAAACTACACACACACACACACACACACACACACACACACACACACACACACACACACACACAGACACACACACACACATTTGAGCATGAATTGGAGCATGGTGGAGCTGCGAGAGCATTTGGATAGAGTGAGAGTGGGTAGTACAGAGGGGCATTGTGCATCCTGGCACCAATTCAAACTCATCCACAAAGACACAGACATAAAAAAAACACACATTCAGACGTACAATTACAAACTGTGTTCAAGAGAGTCGTTTCAAACAAGCAGCGAGACGCACTGTACCAGTGATGCTCAAACAGACACCTGATACACACACACACACACACACACACACACACTTACAAAGTGCACAAGCAGACAGTCCGTTACATGCAATTATAAACTCTAACAGGAGTATTGTTGAAACCACATAAATCCACTCTGACTAATAGTGGTTCCACTGGTGCTGCAGCTTCTATTCAGATATGCACTATTTACACTACAAACAAAAAAACACCTCTATTTTTTAAAACTCACACCTGCCTGTCTCACAGCTAAATATTAAATACAACGAGTTCATTGATAACAAATCATTGAAGCCTGCACCAGTTAACTGCTAAAATGAAAAGTGGTCAGTATAAACTGTTAAACCATTGGAGACAAAAACCCTCATCCCACTAGATTAAATCAGTATGGAGGTTAATGGGGTTTAAGTGCATTTTTGAACTACTGAGTGATGATTGAACAGATTTTCCCCCGAAACACTAGATGAAGTCTTTTACTTAGTTCCCAATGGGAACCATTAAAGCTTAATTTGATCAAATGTAATGCAGCCTCTTAAAATAAAAGCCCTCATATTTAGTTTGAATTGAGCAAAAAGCAATCGGTTTGAAGGTGAAATTGATATTTATTAAAGCAAATGACCCCTTTTCTCTGCACAAGTTCATTTTTTCTGTGTTTGTCTTCTTTAATAACCAGCGATTGTCATGTTCGGCTGTGTGGCAGGCAGGAGAGGACCCAAAACGCAAACTCACGGAGACGAAATTAAACTCAAAAAGCTGCTTTATTGCAGAATGGCATGGAAACTAAACTAGAACATGGATGACTAACACACAGGGAAACACAGCCATGAGGGAGACTACAACACTGACAAAGAGAAACACAGGGCTTAAATACACAGAGGGATAACGAGGGAAGTGGAGACACATGAGGAAACAGCTGACTAACATGAACCTAATGACAGGAGCAGTGAAGCTAAATACAAAGAACCAAGAACACACGACTCCTTCCAAAATAAAACAGGAAGCATAACGAAACGCAGACAAAACTTGACAGTGGAGACAGCAACTAAGAAACAGAGACAAACCATAAGGCAGAGGTCTAAGAACCAAAATACACAGAGGGAAATACTCAACTTTGAACACAAGAGACTAGACTAGAGGGAGTAACAAAAGACCAACCATGAGAACATAATGCACAATGCAGGGTGACAGAAAACAAGAAACTCAAACATGCAAAGACACACAATAAACAGAACAGAGGGGGCACAGAGAGACATGAAGGGCAGGGGAGACTTAACATGGGTTGGAAACACAAGGGGGAACTAATAAGCAAATTAACATAGGAGGCCTAATGAGCTTAACAAACTATACACATTAAGATTAACTAAAACTCAAAACACTGGGTCCTAAGACCCAGGATCGTGACAGCGATGACTGATTGAATGCGATACAGCGATCTGTCCAGTGGAATAGTTTTTGCTCTTTTGTCGGGGCTTCGGCTCATTAGCCTCTGGTAATTTTCACTGCTAGATAATTGACAAACCTCTATACTGAAAGCCATAATTGGGATTTGACTACCTTTTATTTTTTGCAATTCTTCACAGTGTTTTGTGCGATATCATACTTTGTACAGACATTTTTTTATGAAAGAAATGATAAAAAGTCTTGATTCGAGTGTTTGTGTGTTACTGCTGACACTGATAATTTTGGGGTTGTATATTTGATTTTTGCTGTCAGTTTATTCCCCTTTCTATCCTGATACAACAAACAAACCACAACACATGAATGTGAATGAATATGGGACAACAGAAAAACAGCCGGTGACATCAGTATATTTCACACTTTATTTTCAGACCTTTCGATATTTATCAAATACCAATCATCAGCTGATATATCACTGGGCCCCTATGCAAACTCTTAACTGGCTGTGTAAAGACTATGACGTGAATACTGAATACAGTGTTTCGGGATGATGTCGGTGTGTAATTTTGTGTATTGTTTCCCCAAAACACATTGAAGAACCAGTTTTGCATCGGTGTTGCAGATCAGGGCACTCTTTGTTTTTCAGACAGCAAAATGCTGCTTAATTCAGCTTCATGCCATGCAAGTTCGCAAACTAGACAAATTTATTTAACTCGCCTCATTTTAGAAGTTGTTCTGATTTTTAATACTGTAACAGCATAATAGCTTTACTAAAACCGCAATGCAGTTGTCACATGGGATTTAAAAAAAATTTTTTCCCCCAGCTGCTGGTGTCGACTTTGGTGTCACTCTCTGACGTTAGAAACTTTTAATGAATAACTGCCCTCAGGGCTTTGGTGGTGGGGGAGGCAGTCCGGGGAGGGGGGCACAATCAGACTTTCATGAGATCATTTTATGTATAAAAGATCAGTACCTGCTAGGCTGCTATTAATTATCTTTTCTGATATTATTATTGAAAAAAAAGTCCCCTCATCATTGTCACCAAGTAGTGCCTGTATAAACTTCCTCCTGATGTACAATACACTCTTAAGTCTCAGCCCAAATAACATTTAACTGGTTCTTTTTTTTCTCCAGCACTATTTTAATAACATTTCTGATATTTGCATAGCCCAGATGTTCTATTTTACCTGAACAGAGATTAATAACATAATAAGTAACCTCCCTCAACCTTGGTGAACTTACAATTCGAGATAACAACACTCTGGGGTTCCTTTTGGAGAAAAATATGCATTTACACACACATTGCTTGAAACTACTCTTACCCTAGATGTCTGAATTAAATGGATATGACTTAGGTTTGCTACAGCTGAGAATATTTTAAGTACACACCACAGTATGATTATGTCTGTAACTTTAGTTCCTTGTTAGGTGTTTCCTAGGATCATGGATCATGCCCTAATAACTTGAACAACACATTATTCATGTTATGTGGATATTGTCATTAAACTGAAACGATCCGATGAAGACGATAAGGTCTTGAAGGAGTCTATGAATGGATCATTTTAGCATTTTAGCTAGGCAGCATAATGTTGTTATAATATCTGATAAAGCGAACAACCTGCAGGGTCCTAATATGTGTCTGTGTGCCCAAATACCTGATCGTGTAAAAAAAATTCTAAGGCAAACGAACTTTCATGCATGATATTTAGGTATCATTGTGACGACTGACGCACTGAGCTAAACTTCCCAACCTCTACCCCTCCATCTTCCCCTCACAGGTGGCAAAGGACGTGTCCATCCGTCTCCACAGCCAGCTGGACAGTGTGGAGAAGAAGAGGAGTCGTCTTGAGCAGGAGAATGAGGAGCTGAGGGTCCGCCTGCAGGATCTGGAGGTCGCTAAACAGGTCCTGCAGCAGGAGATTGACAAGGTAGGATCAAAACTTTGCATCTGAGTCAGGAGAGGCCAAGCTGCAGAAGCCATGTACTGAGAAACCATTTAAAAAAGGTTTGCCAGTTGAAGTAGATTACAAGACTACAAGTTAAGATGTGTGTTTGTTTAGGTTCAGACTTGACTAGAAATTTCATTTAAACACTGAGGTTCAGGCAGATCCCTATTTAGCCTGTCGTGGATTTGGGACCTTTGAAGAAAACTGTTTACTGTGCTCAGTTTGTCTTGAAGCCTCCAGAGAGTCTGTTCTTTTCTGGTGTTCACTTCCTTTCTGCCACTCGGCTGCAACTCAAGGGACTTTTTTGTTATACTAAGTGTAGCCAATAAAAACTGTAATGAAAAGGAAGAATAGAAACTGATGTCAGGACTCGGTGAAGTGAAAATAAACATAACAGAGTTGATGTTGCTGCCTTTTTTTTTTAATGGGAAAAAATACGAGTAATCTATTTGCACATAGATTTGGTCTGAGAGAAGCGTAATGTGAGTGAAAAGCAGAAAATGAGGCTACAGTTCTGCATCCAATTCTTCCCTCTTTCTGCTTATTGTCTCTTTTGCCAATGTCTAATGGTCTGATGGTCACAGCCTTGGCTCAGGACCAGGTCCCTGATGTGGCTCGGGTTGGGATGGATGGCTGGGTTCCTGGCAGGGGATCTGGGTCTGTCTGCTCTGGTCTGGCTGGACTGTGTGTTCCCTTGGTACAATTGGGCGTTTGCTGTTTGTGGATTGAAGGAAGATGGCTGGGTTTCATCACCCTTCACCTGGCTGTCTTTCAGATGAAGTGTAGTGGTGCATCCACTACAGATGATATACACATACGTACATTCTGAATAGCTGCTTCTTGTCTATTATATACATTTCCCCTTGTTTTTTCTCAGCTCCTGGAGGTATCTTGTACTACTACTACAAGTTTGCAATATTGCACTATTTACCAGCCTCTGTTGAACTACCATTAAATACTACTATTAAACTGAAATGTGTGTAGCACTGTGAGATTTCATGCCACTGTACAGATGTCAAAAAATCTTACTTGACCTTCTCTAAAAAAAAAAAAAAAAAAAAAAGGTTCAGTGCAACTCTGCCAGGTGAGGCTTCCACAAGTGGGGGGTGTTTAAAAATAGATTAACAGTTCTCAGTGAATTTCAAATAGCTTGCTTGCCATCCCCATCCCTAACATCCACAGTGATGGAGATGCAACACCCGAATATCTCAATGATTTGTTTTATATTTCCAGCCCTCACCAATGGTTTGATTTAAAGACTGGGCTTCCTTTGCATGAGTCTGTGGAATAGATTTTTATATTGTAGCAGTTTTAATTGGTAAAAGTATTATTGGTGTGTTTAATATCCTGCAAATATGAGATTTTGTTTGAAATCTCATATTGCAGTTCGTGTTTTTCTTTACTGTACATTTTGAAGGCTTTTCCTTCAAAACACAGCAGCTCTCGAGTCATCTGAATAATGTAATGAGTCATAATGAAAAAATTCACAACCCTTTGTTTTCAGTTGTCAAAATGTCAGTTTTCCACAAAGCTTAATTGTTGTCCATTAGAAATGGATACAACCGGATGCTAATCTTGTTGCTATGAAATTTCTTCCCTTGGAGTTATAATTGTCATTTCTGCTGTCATATTTTAAGCACAGGCTTTAATGTTTTACTTTTTACAATTAAAAGATCCTGATAGTTCCTGGTCTTTGGAAGAAAGCTTTCATCCATCTAAAGCAAAATAGCCCATTGGCTATTGTATTATGTCACCAATCATACACTAAAGCAGAGCTACAAAGTCTCACCAAGTGGAAAGTACCATGGTTATTTCTCACCTAGCACAGCAGGCTGTTGACTGACTGGATGCCTGATGTGCTATGAACTAACATGGTTTCATAAGCCTTGTTTTGGGACTGCTGTGCAGAGTCATACTAACCCTTCAGTGAAGGGAGTTCTTCACATAGCTGATGTGATTCAGAGAGCTGTGTTTGTGTGCATGTTCATCCACAAAGGAATGTCTCACTCATCTGTGTTTCACCTTCCACTGCACAGTACAAACACAAGAATTCAAGTACATCACAGAAAAGAGAGCGATAAGAGCGGCCGCCTTTCAGAGAGTGATAAAATATACACAGATATGCACAAAAATACGGTGAAGATAAACACACTGGACAGAAAGGGATTTAAGCACACAGACAGGAGTGCATGCAGTCAGTAAAGGCCTTGGTATTTCACAGCTGTAAATGAAGTTTGTGAATTATTGATTGTGTGGTGACTGCAGCCCACGGTCTGCACTGATATCGATATTCTTTAAAAAGAAGAGGTGAGCGGTGCACTGGCTAGACCTTTACTGTGCTGCTGCTGCTGCTGCTGCAGGCCATCAATACCAAACTGGAAACAGGAGGATTCGTTTCTGTAGAGTAACAGTTTTAATGATTTAGCTACATAAACAGAAGTAATGTCAATTAGAAGCAGACAAACATGTAATTTGATTGTTACATCTCGTCTGAATTGTCAATATTCTTTTTTAGTTTTCTCTTTATATGTATCATGTGTTACTATAAATGGTAAAAACTATACATTAGAGGTTGGACTTATAGGTAGGTTTCTGTATGCGCATGTTTTTGTATTATATTAATATAATAAAAACACATTTTTAGCAATCGTTGTCAATATGCTTATAGGCTGCTATCATTTTTTAGTTTGCCAGTTGCAGAGCGGAAAACAATGATAGAAACAAGCACCGCTGTTGCATGTGTGCTTTATATTATCATTGCCAAATCTTCTCTTATATGCTAGTCTTTGGCAGTTGTGTGTTAGCCTTAGGTACATTCACATTATTAGTGGCAGTATTTTACTTATATGTTTGTAACATATTAGTTTCACTGACCGCAAATGATGCCTCTTTTATGACATACTTAATACTTAATCACAGCAGGTTTGGATGGTGCACTAGTGTTATCATGTTAGCCTTCTCCATTTGGTCACTTGAAGGTCAAGATCTGCCATATTTTAGAAAACTATGTCAATTTTGATATAGGGAACGATGTCATTTATGCATAGATATAGACTTCATTAATCCCACACTGAAGAATTCCAGATTATAATTTATTTTATTTATAAAGAGGGACAAATTTCTCAAACCCTTTGGTCCAAACCTCCAAATGTCAATTTGGGTTGAAAAGGCCACGTCATAATATTTCCATCACTTTCATAATTACATACCGAAAAGCCTTGTCTTGATTCAATCTGTGCATTTTTGTGGACAAATTAAATCGTTCAGTTGATTTTTCTTGAATTTGTCTCCTATCTTATGTATTTTTAGAAAATGGTTCATGTAAAAGTTAAGTAAGAATTTTAATAGTTGCTAGAGTCTGACAGATGTAGGAGTTTGAAAACTGATACTGATACCAATAGTTTCTGATTTAAAACTCTGATATTACATGAGCCGATTTTTTTTTAATCCAGATAAAACAAAAACATAAACAGATTTCCCCCAAATCTGTTACGCATAGTTTATTATTATTATTATTATTTATTTACTATGTTGTGCCCAAATCTGCTCAGCTCAGATGATTGTTGTGTTTGCGGCGTTCCCAATAGGGAAGTTTGCAGAGTGCTCTCTGGTGTAAAAATCAAGACTGAAATGAAAACTCACAGTATAAAGTGCCTTGAGACAACTGTTGTTATGATTTGGTTGCATATAAATAAACATGAAGTAAACCGAATTAAAAAAAATCCTTTGAAGGGTCAGGTCCAGAAGGGCGCCCAGTGTAAAAACTGGAGCTAAAGCTAATATGCGGATGCATCCATTGTACATGTAGGAATGGCTGATAGTTAATTATCAGCTGTTATAAATATCAATATTAATAGATCGGAAAATAGATAATATTGTTTGATATTATATTAAATCAGTTGCCTCTCTTCTACGCACTGTTAGACAAACACGCATAAAACACAATTAATTTAGTCAAACAAGCAGAAGGGCAATGTTTTCTCTCATTCATTTTCTCCACCCTTGTTTTCCTTTACCCTCATCCCTCTCTCACAGCCCGGCTCTCCCTTCCCCTCCTCCATTGCACCTCTGCTCTCCTCCTGCATCTCCCCATTTGTTATCACCTTCTATTCTTCCTGCCTCCCTCCCTTCCTCCTCTCCTGCTGCTCCCATAGAGACGCAGAGGAATGCTGATGCAGGGATTTCTTTTTCCATCTCTCTCCTCTCTCCCTTAAAATCTCTCCTCTGTCCATCTCCTCCTGCTCCTCCTACTCAAGCCAGTCTGCCCCCTCTCCCTCCTTCATACCAAAGCCCTCACTCCCTCGCTCACTCATACCTCGCCTTTTTTGTCTCGTTTCCTCCCCTCCTCTACTGCTGCCATCTTCCCTTCCCTCTCCAAAACCCATCGATCCACTCCAGCTGCTTGACCTTTGACAGAGGCAAGGTCGGATGTGATGAAGGGAGGAGTGGGTTAGAGTTATCGGATGTTAGGGAAGGATTGATTGAAGGAATGGAAGAAAGAAAAAAATCACGGTTAGAAAGACAATAAAGCTGAGGTTGCAAGAGACTCTGTCTTTTGAATATAAGCCAGCCTGTCATTCAACCAGAGACCTTCTTTCATTTTACTTTCCATCACACTTTATTTACGTCTTCTTTGTAACAATCAACAGAACAAGCAGCTCTTGTTTCTGGTTAATACCATTTATGCTGTCTGGATGTTGTTGTTCAGTGAGCCACTGTATTCACTGTAAATAGGTGCTATCATTATAATAACACCAATTTACTGAATTTTAGTGAGTTTCTGTTTCGCTTAGTGAAGGGCAAAGGTGAGACGGATGAGAAGAAATAAAAGGACACTGACCTTGTAATGCAGATATCAGCAGATCAACTTCTGATACTGCCTGGAAGTATTTTGCAGTAACAGCATATCTGTCTGTTGGTGTAAGCGAAGGCATAAATCTAAAGTTTTGCCACCCTGGATAATACTCAGTTCTTTATTGGCT